CTACCCGTCCTGTTGGGGGAGGACTCAGGCTACCCATCCTGTTGGGGGAGGACGCAGAAAGCTGTGGGTTGGCAGGATAGGCTCCCCGTCCTGTTGGGGGAGGAAGCAGAGAGCTGTGGGTTGGCAGACCACTACATTGCTGCCTGCCATAAGATGAGGGACAGTGTCTGACAGACCAACCAACCTGCATATGTCCTCTATGCCATTGTTATTGTTATTGACCATTGTATGGTTATTTTGACCCTTGAATATTGTTGTTACTGATTGTCCCGTTGACAATCTTGATTATTATTATTTTATATTATGTTAATATTGTAAATGTATCACTTAATCTCCAAAGTACGCTTTGGCAATATACACATTGTTACGTCATGCCAATGAAGATTGAAACAGAGACAGATCAGTAGAGGGAGACCAAGTTTGAAACAGAGACAGAGTGAATTAGTAACGGTGCAGTAATAACGTTGAGATTGATTACATTTGCTCCTCTCATTCTGACGGAGATATTATATTATATTATATGCTTGACCTGGGCACCGGCACCTAAATGTTTCTACTGCTACTGCTTCACCTAAATATAAACACTACCGCACCCAAAATCAGTACCGGCACCTACAGTGAATGTAAATATATTCATCCCCCTTGGCGTTTTTCCTATTTTGTTGCATTACAACCTGTAATTTAAATGGATTTTTATTTGGATTTCATGTAATGGACATACACAAAATAGTCCAAATTGGTGAAGTGAAATGAAAAAAACTACTTGTTTCAAAAAAATCTAAAAAATAAATAACGGAAAAGTGGTGCGTGCATATGTATTCACCCCCTTTGCTATGAAGCCCCTAAATAAGATCTGGTGCAACCAATTACCTTCAGAAGTCACATAATTAATTAAATAAAGTCCACCTGTGTGCAATCTAAGTGTCACATGATCTCAGTATATATACACCTGTTCTGAAAGGCCCCAGAGTCTGCAACACCACTAAGCAAGGGGCACCAACAAGCAACTGGCACCATGAAGACCAAGGAGCTCTCCAAACAGGTCAGGGACAAAGTTGTGGAGAAGTACAGATCAGGGCTGGGTTATAAAAAAATATCAGAAACTTTGAACATCCCACTGAGCACCATTAAATCCATTATTAAAAAATGGAAAGAATATGGCACCACAACAAACCTACCAAGAGAGGGCCGCCCACCAAAACTCACAGACCAGGCAAGGAGGGCATTAATCAGAGAGACAACAAAGAGACCAAAGATAACCCTGAAGGAGCTGCAAAGCTCCACAGCGGAGATTGGAGTATCTGTCCATAGGACCACTTTAAGCCGTACACTCCACAGAGCTGGGCTTTACGGAAGAGTGGCCAGAAAAAAGCCATTGCTTAAAGATAAAAATAAGCAAATACGTTTGGTGTTCGCCAAAAGGCATGTGGGAGACTCCCAAAACATATGGAAGAAGGTACTCTGATCAGATGAGACTAAAATTGAGCTTTTTGGCCTTCAAGGAAAACATTATGTCTGGCGCAAACCCAACACCTCTCATCACCCCGAGAACACCATCCCCACAGTGAAGCATGGTGGTGGCAGCATCATGCTGCGGAGATGTTTTTCACCGGCAGGGACTGGGAAAGTGGTCAGAATTGAAGGAATGATGGATGGCGCTAAATACAGGGAAATTCTTGACGGAAACCTGTTTCAGTCTTCCAGAGATTTGAGACTGGGACAGAGGTTCACCTTCCAGCAGGACAATGGCCCTAAGCATACTGCTAAAGCAACACTCGAGTGGTTTAAGGGGAAACATTTAAATGTCTTGGAATTGCCTAGTCAAACTTACTGACTTAAAGATTGCTGTACACCAGCGGAACCCATCCAACTTGAAGGAGCTGGAGCAGTTTTGCCTTGAAGAATGGGCAAAAATCCCAGTGGCTATGTCACGCCCTGGCTCGGGGGACTCTCGTATGTTGAGCCAGGGTGTTAGTTTCTATGTTTTTGTTGTGGGTCTAGGTTACTTATTTCTATGTTGGTCTGAGTGACTCCCAATCAGAGGCAACGAGTGTCAGCTGGTTGTCTCTGATTGGGAGCCATATTTAAACAGTCGGGTTTTCATTCGTGTTTGTGGGTTTTTGTTTCGAGTCTGGTTATGGTAACCGTGAACTGTCACGTATCGTTCGTTGTTTTGTTCGTGTTGCCTTCAGTGAGAATAAATATGTTTGCATTCAACGCTGCGCATTGGTCCACTCTGTTAGACGATCTTGACAGAAAAACCCACCACAACTGGACCAAGCAGCGAGTCGAGGAGCCATCGCCAGGGAAATCGCTGGCAGATCTCCGTGGCAGCTTCGACTGGGTCAAGCCCATTGAGGAGCTGAGTGACGAGGGTTGGAGACAGAGGAGCGAGAGGTGGGCGAGAACGATGGAGGCCTGGCCCACGGGGAGGAGAGACCCCCAGAAAATTTTTAGGGGGGGGCTCACGACGTCGGGGCAGCAGGAGGCCGCTATGGAGCGGTCCAGCGGGGTTGCAGAGGAGGCCGCCAGGTTACGGGGGCCACTGGTAGAAGAGGGGATGGAAGGTGTAGAGGCACGGCGAGAGGTACTGGGGTGTGTTACCAGTCCGGTCCGGCCCGTTCCAGATCCCGGTGTAGGGCCAGTGGTGTGTGTCCCTAGTACGGTCCGGTCTGTTCCTGCTCCCCGCACCAAGTCTGTGGTGCGTCTCGTCAGCCCGGCTCTGCCCGTTCCTGCTCTCCGCACCAGGTCTGTGGTGCGCGTCGCCAGCCCAGTCCGGCCCATTCCTGCTCCCCGCATCAAGTCTGTGGTGCGTCTCGTCAGCCCGGCTCTGCCCGTTCCTGCTCCCCGCACCAGGTCTGGGGTGCGCGTCGCCAGCCCAGTCCGGCCCATTCCTGCTCCCCACACCAAGCCTGTGGTGCGTCTCGTCAGCCCGGCTCTGCCCGTTCCTGCTCTCCGCACCAGGTCTGTGGTGCGCGTCGCCAGCCCAGTCCGGCCCATTCCTGCTCCCAGCACCAAGTCTGTGGTGCGTTTCGTCAGCCCTGTCCGGCCCGCTCCTGCTCCCCACACCAAGCCAGTGGTGTGCGTCGTCAGTTCAGCACGACCCGTGCCTGTTCCCCACACCAAGCCAGTGGTGAGCGTCGTCGGTCCGGCACGGCACGTGCCTGTTCCACTGGTGCCTGGTCCGGCGCCGGTCAGATGCGTTACGCCGGAGCTAGAGCAATCCGCTCCACCAGTGTGCAGTCCAGCTCCGGTCAGCAGGACCAGACCGGACCAGGGGTACTTTGGGGGGTTAGAGAGCGAGTGGGGATCATGCCCGGAGCCGGATCCGCCGCCTAGGCGGAGTGCCCACCCGGTCCCTCCCCTGTTGTGTTTCGTTGGCGCGGTCGGAGTCCGCGCCTTTAGGGGGGGGTACTGTCACGCCCTGGCTCGGGGGACTCTCGTATGTTGAGCCAGGGTGTTAGTTTCTATGTTTTTGTTGTGGGTCTAGGTTACTTATTTCTATGTTGGTCTGAGTGACTCCCAATCAGAGGCAACGAGTGTCAGCTGGTTGTCTCTGATTGGGAGCCATATTTAAACAGTCGGGTTTTCATTCGTGTTTGTGGGTTTTTGTTTCGAGTCTGGTTATGGTAACCGTGAACTGTCACGTATCGTTCGTTGTTTTGTTCGTGTTGCCTTCAGTGAGAATAAATATGTTTGCATTCAACGCTGCGCATTGGTCCACTCTGTTAGACGATCTTGACAGGCTAGATGTGCCAAGCTTATAGAGACATACCCCAAGAGACTTGCAGCTGTAATTGCTGCAAAAGGTGGCTCTACAAAGTATTGACTTTGGGGGGGGGGGGGGGGGGGGGGGGGGGGGGGGGTGAATAGTTATGCACGCTCAAGTTTTCAGTTTTTTTGTCTTATTTCTTGTTTGTTTCACCCCAAAAAAATTTTTGCATCTTCAAAGTGGTAGGCATGTTGTGTATATCAAATGATACAAACCCCCCAAAAATCAATTTTAATTCCAGGTTGTAAGGCAACAAAATAGGAAAAATGCCAAGGGGGGTGCATAATTTCGCAAGCCACTGTATTTCAGTCCAAGTCAAGCATTGATTACATGCTCTTTCATCCCAGTTCATTTGACTGAGACCCATTAGAATTAGATGACACTAGGATGGAGGAAGAGAGATGAGAGATATGAGAGGGTTGGGGGTAGTTATGAGAGATATGAGAGGGTTGGGGGTAGTTATGAGAGAGAGGAGAGCGTTGGGGGTAGTTATGAGAGAGAGGAGAGGATTGGGGTAGTTATGAGAGATATGAGAGGGTTGGGGGTAGTTATGAGCGATATGAGAGGGTTGGGGGTAGTTATGAGAGAGGAGAGCGTTGGGGGTAGTTATGAGAGAGAGGAGAGGATTGGGGTAGTTATGAGAGAGAGGAGAGGGTTGGTGGTAGTTATGAGCGATATGAGAGGGTTGGGGTAGTTATGAGAGAGAGGAGAGGGTTGGGGTAGTTATGAGAGAGAGGAGAGGGTTGGGGTAGTTATGAGAGAGAGGAGAGGGTTGGGGGTAGCTATTCTAGAGCTGGCAGTAACACAAGATAACTCTGATCAAAAACATACTTCTTTCAAGTCAATTTACTTCTCTAACCAACAACACAATGTGGACATTCATTTATTCTTGAATTGAATCTGATTACTAAGCAGTCTGATGTCTATGTTGCATTGCCCCCTTCTAGAGGACAAGCTGCAACATTACACTCAGCCACCCACCCACCGACCCATCCACCAAGCCACCCACCCACCCAGCCAGCCATGAAGCCACCCATCCACCAAGCCACCCACCCACCCAGCCAGCCATGAAGCCACCCAGCCACCAAGCCAGCCACCCAGCCAGCCCCCAAACCAGGCAGTCAGCCAGCCACCCACCCACCCAGCCACCCAGTCAGCCAGCCAGCCACCCAGCCACACACCCATCCACCCAGCCAGCCAGCCAGCCAGCCAGCCACCAATCCAGCCACTAACCCACCTTGCAGTCTTTCTGGTACTTGCTCCACACGTCTTTACTCAGGCCCCCCGACGCCTCGCAAGGTTTGTCAGGAGGGACAATGTTGTGGTTGACCAGTGCTGACAGATGGGTACGGACCGTGGACAGGTGTCGACAGTAGGCCAGCCCTGGGGGGAGGGAGGGAGGGAGGGAGGGAGGGAGGGAGGGGGGGAGGGAGGGAGGGGGGAGGGGGGGGGGGGAGGGGGGAGGGAGGGAGGGAGGGGAGGGAGGGAGGGAGGGAGGGAGGGAGGGAGGGAGGGAGGGAGGGGGGAGGGGAGAAAGAGAGAGAGAGGACATTAGAAAGAGAGAAGAAGGGAAGACAAGGGAAGGAAGGAGAGAAAGAAAGAGAGGCATAAAAGAAGACAGGAGGTCTCTTCCTTTACGCCACAGGACCTGAGAAACAAACAACTCTGAGAGAAAGAACACAGACAGACTTACATCCGTAGAAGGCCCTGGAGACGATCTGCCTTTTCATATTCTGGCACAGCATCTTCAGAGGGCTCCTGGAGACAGGACACACACATACAGCAGTGGGGTGATGATAGCATTATTTCAGGTTATCAATTAATGATGTGATCCATTCTCTGCAGGAGTGTATGTATGTATGTCTGTATGTGTATGTGTGCATGCGTATGTGTGCATGCGTGTGTGTGTGTGCGTGCGTGCATGCGTGTGTGTGTGTGTGCGTGCGTGCGTGTGTGTGTATGTGTGCATGCGCGTGCGTGCGTGCGTGTGTGTGCGTGCGTGTGTGTGTGTTCTCACCGGTCGTGGATGCAGGTGCAGCCTGCTGGGTATTCCAACAAGACGTTACTGCCCCAGCCCCCCCTGTGGAGGCAAGGCAGACATGGACAACATGTGAACTGGTGCAACTCTGACTCCCCTGCTGCCATGACGACGGGGCTGGCCTCCCAACATAGCACCCTGGATGTCCATCATACTCCCACATGGTCTGGAGGGGGAGGGAGGGGGGTGGAGAGAGAGAGGATGATGAGAGAGGGTGGAGAGGGGGTGAGAGAGAGGGAGATGGAGGGGAGAAGAGGGAGGGGAGAGAGATGAGGGAAGGGTGGGGATGGAGAGGGGGGGAGATAAGGGAGGATGATGGAGGGGGGTGAGTGGAGAGAGAGGGAGGCGAAGCGGAGGGGGTGAGAGGGGGGTGGGCGAGAGCGGGAGGGGGCTGCGCTGGCGGGGTGAATGGAGGGAGAGGGATGGAGGAGATGGAGAGAGTGAGGATTGAGGGATGGAGGAGGAGAGAAAGTGATGGAACAAGGGTGAAGACAACAGCGAGGAAAATAGGTGAGGGACAGAGAAGCACTCTTAAGGTGCTCTGAGACTAGGCTGTAAACTGACCTGTTGGCTGCGTCCAGAATGTGTCATTGGTTTCCTTATTGGCTAAATAAAACAATGTTCATCCTCTAAGATCTCGTCTGGTTAGAATTACATGATCTGTTACCCAGGCCCTTTAACTCAACCATGACATCAATTTAGGTAGAGAGATTTCTCTCTTTATCGATTTCAGATTCATGTGTTGTAGAAATGGCTCTTTCAAATATTGTATATTTAATTTTGCGTACATTGCTCACATAGATGTATGAGTTATACATTTACAGTGCCTTCAGAAAGTATTCATACCCCTTGACTTATTCCGCATTTTGTTGTGTTACAGCCTGAATTCAAAATGGACAAAATTAAGTTTTTTCTCACCCATCTACACACAATACAAATGACAAAGTGAAAACATGTTTATAGACATTTTTGCAATTTATTGACAATGAAATACAGAAATATTTCATTTACATAAGTATTCACACCTCTGAGTCAATACATGTTAGAATCACATTTGGCAGCGATTACAGCTGTGAGTCTTGGTAAGCAACTCCAGTGTATATTTGGCCTTGTGTTTTAGGATATTGTCCTTATGAAAGGTTAATTTGTTTCCCAGTGTTTCTTGGAACTTTGACTGAACCAGGTTTTCCTCTAGGATGTTGCGTGTGCTTAGCTCTATTCCATTTTAATCCTAAAAAACTCCCTAGACCTTGCTGATGACAAGCATACCCATAACATGATGCAGCCACCACCATGCTTGAAAATATGAAGAGTGGTACTCAGTGATGTGTTGTGTTGGATTTGCCCCAAACATATAACGCTTTGTATTCAGGACAAAAAGTTAATTTCTTTGCCAAATTTTTTGCAGATTTACTTTTGTGCCTTATTGCAAACAGGATGCATGTTTTGGAATATTTTTTATTCTGTACAGGTTTTCTTTTCACTCTGTCATTTAGATTAGTATTGTGGAGTAACTATAATGTTGTTGATCCATCCTCAGTTTTCTCCTATCAAAGCCATTAAACCCTGTAACTTCCACCATTGGCCTCATGGTGAAATCCCTGAACGGTTTCCTTCCTCTCCGGCAACTGAGTTAGGAAGGACGCCTGTATTTTTGTTGTGACTGGGTGTATTGATACACCATCCAAAGTGTTATTAATCACTTCACCATGCTCAAAGGGATATTCAATGTCTGCTTTTTAATTTTTGTATACATCTACCAATAGGTGCCCTTTGCACGGCATTGGAAAAAAAAAAAAAAATGGTCTTTGTGGTTGAATCTGTGTTTGAAATTCACTGCTCGACTGAGGGACCTTACAGATCATTTTATGTTTGGGGTACAGAGATTTGGTAGTCATTCCAAAATCATGTTAAACACTATTATTGCACACAGAGTGAGTCCATGCAACTTATTATGTGACTTGTTAAGCTAATTCTTACTCCTGAACGTATTTAGGCTTGCCATAACAAAAGGGGTTGAATACTTATTGACTCAAAACATGTCAGCTTTTCATTTTTTATTTTATTTGTAAACATTTCTAAAAACATAATTCCACTTTGACATTATGGGGTATTGTGTGTAGGCCAGTGATACAAAATCTCAATGTAATCCATTTTACATTCAGGCTGTAAGACAACAAAATGTGGAAAAATTCAAAGGGTGTGAATACTTTCTAAAGGCACTGTAGGTACGTGGTTATAGATAAGTGAGTCAGACAAACATCATAAAACACATTATATTGAGAATAAACAAAAACTTGGAATTGAATAAGAAGACGTTTTGGGAAGTGAGAGTTTTCGAAGCAAACAGAAGGAAGGAAGTGAGCAGACAGAGCAGAGCATGCTGGGGGATCAGGCCAGGCAGAGAGGATGCTGGGAAGGCATGCTTATAGAGCCCAGTCAGAGAGAAGACATAGAGCACAAACCTGGCTCCACAGAGGACCAAAAACAGACATTAGGAGAGGAGAGGAAAGGAGAGGAAAGGAGAGGGGGAGAGGAGGAGAGAGACAGGGCAGCGGGGTTCTCAGGCCATGCAGGAAGCATAAAGCATGAAGCCAGAACATGACGACGGAAAAAGCCAAATGCCAAAACAGGAACAAAAACAAAACAACTTAATGTCCATTAAGGGTATACCAAAAATACAAAGAAAGAATCATAAAAACATCAACATCAAAGAAATGCTCTTCACCTTAATTCTTCAGGGTGGAGCAGATGACCTGTTATAAATATGAATAGCTGCTCTTTGGTTGTTCAGCAGAAAAACCAAGAAATCAAAACGATAAAACAGAACCAAACATAAAATGCTGCCTGGAAAGGAGACCCCGCATTCGGACTCCCTAGAAAATGTATTTTTTTGTTGGGCTATGCGAGTTCAAAGTTCAACAGGAAGTGATTTTAGGGTTTTTGGTAATGCACTCCCGGGTGTTGACATAACGATACTGTAACAGGGTTGACCAAAGGTGTGACAGGGTAGGAACCAAAGTGTTGTCCATGTCTCTACTACTGCGGAACCCCACAGGACCTAGCCGTCACAATGGAAGGGACGGGGGGACGACGGTGGTTAGTGAAGAATTACAGTGAATAGCATTGCAGAAAGAATGACTGCACTAACAAAGGAAGAGGAGAAAACTACATCAGAGCAAAGAAATCAATCAATAAAAAAAAAATATATATATATAGAGAGAGAGAGATACAGTATATATATATATAAAAATATATATATAGAGAGAGAGAGACAGAGAGAGAGAGATATATATAGAGAGAGAGAGAGAGAGAGAGAGAGAGAGAGAGAGAGAGAGAGAAGCAGATAAGGGGGGAGAGGGTGCAGAGAGAGAGAGAGAGAGCAGAAGAGAGATAGAGAGAGAGAGAGAGATAGAGAGAGAGAGAGAGAGAGAGAGCAGATAAGTTTTGGATAGGCAGAGAGAGAGATAGAGAGAGATAGATAGAAAGATATAGAGAGAGAGAGATAGATCGAGTGGTGGAGGTGTGGGGGGGGGGTTGGGGGGTGTTCCTTACAGTAGAAACAAACCTTTTAAAACAAAATTAAACTGGTTGCTGCATATCTCACATGCAAACTGGTCAGGCATGTTGCAGTGAATGTAAATGAAGACAATAGAGCCAAAACAAAAACTACACAGTAAGCAGAAGAGTTTAGTATACCAAACCAAACCAAAAAGAGTGCAAAAAGGAATAACAACAGAGAAAATTATCAAAGCATTTCTTTGTGCCCCAGAACCCAACAGTGCTGAGAGTAGAGGACCATAGTAACTGGGAATAACATGGTACTGCTCCATTGAGAGGAGAGGACCATAGTAACTGGGAATAACATGGTACTGCTCCATTGAGAGGAGAGGATCATAGTAACTGGGAATAACATGGTACTGCTCCATTGAGAGGAGAGGACCATAGTAACTGGGAATAACATGGTACTGCTCCATTGAGAGGAGAGGATCATAATTCCCTATAATGTTTACTTCTAAGTTTACTTCTTTAGACCAGGGCCCATGGGGAATAGGGTGCCATTTCAGACGCAGCCAGTCAGAGATAACAGTCTCTAAAGGGACTAGGGAGGGCGGACAGTCATCAGAGATATATCTGCAAGGTGATACAGGGTAGAATGACAACATGACAATGTCCATATTACAGCATACTGAGAGAAAGACATAAGGCTACAGTATATTATACTAAAGCACATTCTGAAGATGAGAAAACACGTTGGCCAGTCAGTCTCTCTCCATTTAGGATATACAGTAACCGGTCCTCTATGGTCCAGCTGGTAGAGCACTGAGCCACAGATATTATAAATATTACTGTCAGTTGGACCCATAGAAATAAAATCAATAGAAGTGGCTTAGAGCCTTTCACCCTGGAAATTCATTAAATGGGGAGGCCCGTTCTATTTCTATGGTCTGATCTACAGATTATATTTCTATGGTCTGATTTACAGATTATATTTCTATGGTCTGATCTACAGATTATATTTATATGGTCTGATCTACATATTATATTTCTATGGTCTGATCTACAGATTATATTTCTATGGTATGATCTACAGATTATATTTCTATGGTCTGATCTACAGATTATATTTCTATGGTCTGATCTACAGATTATATTTCTATGGTCTGATTTACAGATTATATTTCTATGGTC